GGACAGTCTCGGTCGTTGTGTCCTTGGGCAAGACACTTCACCCGTTGCCTACTGGTGGTGGTCAGAGGGCCCGGTGGCGCCAGTGTCCGGCAGCCTCGCCTCTGTCAGTGCGCCCCAGGGTGGCTGTGGCTACAATGTAGCTGCCATCACCAGTGTGTGAATGTGTGTGTGACTGGATATGTAAAGCGCTTTGGGGTCCTTAGGGACTAGAAAAGCGCTATATAAATACAGGCCATTTACCATTTTACTTTTGGAACGGTCTACAAGACTTTTAAATGGAAGGCAGCCAGCTATACATGTGTTTTAGAGGTAAATAGCCTTAAGTTCCTATGGGCCCGTGATGTTCAGTTATTTTGAAAAGAAGCGCATCCAATGGAAATCAACTTTTAACGAGCAGACCCAAACTCTTTAACTAGGATTAGTGGTGATATTTAAAGAAGAGAAAAGAAAATACACCTAATACCTACAAAAACACGGCTCCTCCTTTGGCAATCGTAGGAAAACCCTTAACACGAGGGCAAAAAGAAACGCTGCAGAGGATACACATCCATCTTTCCCCTGGTCCAAATATATGACCAGTGTAAAGAAAAGGAAACAGGTCTATCTAGGAAGCAACAGACAAATTGCACAACATGGACTGATTGGGATTCTTGTACAGCGCTTTTCTGCTCTCCCAGAACACTCAAAGCGCTCTATACAACATGCCACATTCACCCAGTCACACGAGCATCATCTTTCTATGCATTTAAGTGCTTTCTAACTACCAGTCACACACATTCATACTCCAGTGGATGCAGCGGGATTACTATCTTGCCCAAGGATATTTGGCATGCAGATTAGGGGGAGCCAGGGATCAAACCACCGACCGTCCGATCAGCAGATGACCTGCTCTACCTCCTGACCTACAGCCACTCCTAAAAGTGGGAAAAAATTCAGCTTGAGTAACAGTACCAGCACTCCGTATGTAAAGAGACTCGGTCATCACTGAATGTGGAGGTGTGTTCAAAAAGACCCCATCAATTTTTGGAATGAACCTGTGACAAGTCGACACTAATTTTAAACTGGTTTGCAAGAGCTGTCACACAAACAGACTTAGCTTGTTGTCACAGCTGTGCTATCAGCTGGGAACAAGTCTATTGACCATTTGTGGCCAAAAGACACAGGCTGCACACCACTCCAGTGGTCAAAGTAAACCCGAACATTTACTTGACATTTTATCAGTGAGATGAGGCGTTATCTTGGGAGTAAGACAGAACACTAACAAAAGTGACTCGTGCGCTCCCACAGAGCGCCCTGCCAGGAATCCAGATGACTCTTATTGTATTGTAGTTAATCTTAGGATTTGTTTGATCACAAAGTATTGGTTCATGATAGTTTGAAAGATATCAGTATCACAGCATCTTTAAACATACTGACTTTACTCTGGGTAGGACAGTGCTTCCCATACACACAGCCACTACATGGTAAGTGCTGATGACCCAGGGAAAAGATATTCAGTGAAACTGAGCTGAATGAATGTGAATGCTTTCCTTTATTTCACTAAAAGTCAGCTTGGATTCTTCTTTTATTTGCCGCCTTGCATCTCATTGTTAATGCAAAATGACATTACGTTTGAATGAGAACAGGTCAGAGAAGTTTGCAAATCACAGGTCCAAAGATACTGTAACAGTTTTGAATCAATCTACTGTGATGTGCAACTGTGAGCACAGACCATCAAACATTCAGCCTAATTCCTGATCACACAGGATAACGAAACGAGACTAACATTTTCTCTTGGAGCCATGGAGCGCACTGTGGCTGCAGCTGCCCAGACGCCAGGTTCAATTCCACAGGAAGCTCACACACTGAGTAAGCACACCTTCACTGAGGCATCAACATGATGTCACAAAGAATGAATGGAAACAATTAAGCAAATTGTCTTTCACCCATTTTATGACCGACCCACCAGCACCCAAAAAACCTACAGAGCGCTAAATTGGGTGTGTATGTAGTGAGGGCATTCTGTGACATTTAAATAGTGATAAATATCAGCCTACTGTTAACCAAGAACAGGAAAGGAGCACGGAAATAGATTAAAAAGGTGTCAAGTTATGACTGTTCCAGATGTGCTTCGGCACCGTCCATTTGTCGTTCTGTTCTTGGCTACGAATAGCTATCTCCAGGCAACTGGATGCCAGTGTGCCTCTATTTGAGGGTAGGGTAGGGTAGGGTAGGGGCTGGGGCTGATGCGGTAGCTAAGCTAGCGGCTATGTTAGCTGCCACAGCAGATGAAATGCTGCAGGTCCGCTGAGGACAGCCCGGGGTTGCTGATCGGCTGCTATGTCACCTAAACTCATCCGAGTCCTCGCGGTACAGCAGAATATTCGCACATATGCTAGAGGACAATCAACACGTCTCTAATGCAATCGTGTAATAGCACACTCATTCAGCTCCCATCGCTTTTCCCGTTTTGCTCCGCCGGCATCCCATCCCAGTCTACTGGATGTCGCGCGTTAACGCGAGGCAGGTCACAATATCACAGTATGACACTTGTGTTCGAATTAACCAGTAGTCCCTTAATGACCAGCACAACTATGTCAACTCGCCAGATGGTTACTTGTCAGTCACAGGCTAAAGTGGAGGAGCAGGGGTTGGCAACGCTGCACACTATTAAAAGCCAGAGTAACGACTAGTTATCGTAAGGCACGTCTCAGCCACCGAGACGCATCACCCCAGCTTAAGCTGTTCAACATCAACCACTGTGCACCAGCAATGGTGACCAACCCGTTTCAGTCGAAGCCTGCCTCTTTGCCTCATCAGCTATCTGAGGCGCCGCGCCGGAGAAGCGGTAACACGAGGCCGGTAACAGGGGCGAAAAGAGGGTAACGTTCTTCTACCAAGCACTGTTACCACTAACCCAGTGTCAGCCTCCACCATAACCAGCAACTCCTCCATAAATAAGACCAACGCCGGCCGGCTAGTTCTTACCTCAGGCGGTGTGTCGAACCAAGTTCCGACTAGCAGCCATGTTCGGAACCCCTATTTCCCTTCGTCCACACGAACCGAGCCCCCTCCCCCAGGTCAGTTGTCCTTCGTTCAAAGCAGAAATCCAAAATAATGTCGAGTTGCCTTATTTGCCAGGAACTGGTTTCCCGTTTCCAGTACAATGTGATAGTCTATGTTCTTCGGAGCTCGAGGAGCGGGGCTGTCGATGGGGACTGATTGCCGGCGCAGCACAGCTAGCCGTGCCTAAGGGGTGGTGGGCAGCCCGCCGCTTCAAACACGGACACCTCGAACTCAGTCTTCTTTCTGTTAAGCAAGCTTAATGTACTGGATCGATATTTATTCTCAGGTGCACAACAAAGTCCCTTGCAACCACAGCGTGGGGCAACTGAATAGGCGATCTCGTCCTCTTCTCAATTAATTTAAAGGCAAGATGCTAACATTAGCTAGCTAGCTAGTAGCTAGCATGCTAGCTGTCTTGATTAAAACACTGCCATTGGAATTTGAAGGAAGACAGTCCGCAAAGTGCAGGCTGTTTGATAGTAACGGCCAGCCGACGGACCGAACCTGCAGACGCTATGAGAAAGACCGTATTTTAGCAGCCACGGCTAAAGCTAACTCTAGGCTGGCCAGCCCCTCTGTGATGTTAATATCGGTCAAAGGAGAGGGGCTGCATTGAGAGCGCACTCCCGACACTAGGCAAGTACGGCCCAGCGCGTTCCAGAGAAATTTCCCACAAAATGGCTGCCAAAACAAACCGCACCGCATACTATCATACAAACTTCCCAAAGTTGAGTCTGTAATGGTGCTAAAGCAATCATTTTAGAGGTCTGCCCGATGCAGACCGTGTAACGCTTCGAAAAGATGATGGTAGTGTTGTCACAAACTAGCACGAGTCACCACGTTAGAGAGCACTTCCTTTCCTCTGCAGGTACGAGTAGTTCGTTTCTCCTGTAACTACACAAAGCGATTAATGTGTTTCACTGACAGCACGGGCACAGGTAGCAACGCCACGAGCTAAACGGCCAAACAGCGGCCGTGCTACCTGTCCACACATGAGCTCCGCGTCACACCTGAGAACAGGTGGACACAACCTGAGCTGTGGTCGTTAGTGTTGTACCGCAGCACCTGTGCGCTCCACGGTCACTCAGGCACGTCTTTGAGTGACGCGCAAAGTCAGCGTGGAGCTGCACCCACGGACACTTGTTGGTTCAAAGCTGCCTGAATTCTTCAAGAAGGCGCTGGAAACGCTTCAGATTCTGACAGCATGTCACCTGCTGCACAGCTGACCGGTTTGAAGCGACACGGTGAGTCATCGTCACACAGCTACAGCGTGGATACGACACGGTAACAATGCTCCGGTAAGCTGTGGCGTTTAAATGATGCTGCGTTGGTACTCAGGGGCTCTTGACACCACACGTATGGAGCCGTGCTGCCATGTTTGCCAGCAGGACTCAGGACTGACGTCCGGTTGGAGCCGGTGCGGGTTCAGTTTCCCGTCCTCAGCGGCAGGACTGGCCTGCGTGGGCTCCTGCGCCAGCTGTTGACACGTTGAGTAGAGCTGCTGCTCTGCATGCTTTTGTTGTAGCAAGTAGATGAGTGACTGTTGCATTTGTATGACCGGTCTCTTACCTGTGGCAGGTATCACAGAACTGCTGCTCACTGCATTGTTGTTTCGTTTCTGCAACCCTGTGGGACAGCTGTGCGTACAATCCAGGGCCCAGCAACCTTCCACGTTCAAAGTCATTAAAGTTACCTTTCTTCTCAGCTTGAACTTCAGCGAGTTGTCTAAATGCATCAGGCTACTGCCACGTGACCGCATGATTAGACCGTTGACCATGTGTACCTAACAGAGTGAGTAATGGCATTTTTAAAACCTCAGTGCTGTGAATCTGGACCAAAGAAACCAAGAGCAGTCAGATTAATGTTCGTCAGTGTGATGGTGCATTTAGCTAAAGAGTTCAATTATAACCAACCAAAAACATTTATTAAAACAAATATGGCAGCTACGTGGAAAAAAGAAAAATACTTAAACTGGTTCAAACAAACAGCTACAAAACAGGAAGTGTGTATAGTGGACGCTGTTTGTCACCCGAAGAAGCAAAAACAACATATTCACTTTGAATAAATGGTCCACTGTTAACCATCTAAAGATACCAGCAGTGTGGGTGCAAGTTCAGAATATGGAGCCAGTCACAGACTAAAAGGATCATTAAGAAAATTATCAGGAGCACAGAAGCCAACAAACAAAACAGCAGAGCACACAAGCAACCTCGCTGCAGTCAGACTGATCAGGGTCCTCGGCACAAACAGCTGGGTCCAAAATCCCAGGACAAGGCAGGCTCACAGCACACAACAGTGTGTGTTACTTTGTAACCTCATCTACTGTATACATGTACATTACAAACAACGGGACCTTTTCACAGCGCAAACAAGGCACTGCACTGATGGACCCAGGCATCACATAATGTTCTCCACCTGATCTGTGAGAACTGGAAGCACCAGAGGAGATGGATGGTTGATTAAAGGACTGGATGAGAAACCCCAGCTGAAGGTCTGCTTCAATGTGCTTGGAGGAAGCTGCAGACCGGTGCCTGAAGCCGAAGAGGAGGGTGACAGACGGCAGACGTGCCAGAAGGAGGTTGCAAATCCATTCTCCTCCTCGGGCCCAGCTTACACGCACACATCATTTCTTCTGTTTTGGTGGAGGTCTGAGAACAAAAAAGAAAATGCACGGTTACCACAGATACACACAGCAGGTACTATGGTTACAGACAAATGCAGTGTTTTTGGTGCAGGTTTGTGTCTGACAAGGGGGGTCCTTAGTAAGATGGCTGAGGTGTTTAAGTGGTTCATGATCTGGTGACTGTAGTCATGTGGTTCTCATGTTGCCTTCAGCGAGCCTCTGCACTTACAGTAAAAGCCAGAAAAGGTCAGAAACGATTCTTTGAGCAGTTCGGCTGCAGCTTGATCTGGTTCCAAACACAGACACATATCTGTAAATACATTTATGCATCCATGTGGCTCGTTACCTGAACTCTGAATGGTAAGTTAGCAAGTTCTTAATGGAAGCAGTGAGAGGTTTTCCTTCCATCTCCTCCAATGAACCTTAAATAAAACTACAGACTGGAGCTGACAGCAGGCTGTTTCTTCAAAGCCACTGTGCTGCTGCCAGCTGGGTTTTGTTTTTAAGGAGTCCACCAGATGGCGCTGCCGCAGCGCAGGAGCTGAGAGCTCTGTCCTCAGGAACCACAGGCTGAGGAGCTAAAGAGCCTCGTGTGCAAGTCCTTAGTCTGAGCCCTGATGCAGAGGCAGGAAACTGAACTGATTAACTGAGTTTCAACTGAGCAGAATAAGCTCCGCCTTTCTGATAACAATGGTAATGTTAGGCTGCGTGTTCTTTAAAAACTAAAGCAACATTACATGGTTACTCTGATAAACAGTTCCAGGTTACTCAGCAACTGTTCCAGTCCAACTATGTTGGATCCACTTCAAAGAAAGCTTCCAGGAAATGTAACCTTTGACCCGGAGGTTCAGCAGCTGCAGCCATGGCTGCCCGACCGACAGGCTGGTCGCACGCCCGACAGGCTGGTCGCACGCCCGACAGGCTGGTCGCACGCCCGCTGTCATCAAGTGGGGTTTTTTGTTTTTCCTTTAAGAGGCTGGTATTCAGAGGCAGCCAGCCTCCCCTCATCCACACCAGTTCTCCTACAGGCAGGAGCACCATCAGTGTGGTTCCTCACCCCGTCCTGCAACATCTGGGCAGGGCAGCGGAAACTACCTGCCAATGCTGCCCATCGACATCAGCTCTGCCTTTAACAGTGACCCCAGACATACTGCCTTAACCACACCTGCACGTGGATTAAAATCATCCTCCGTTTTAGGACGTGCAGAGCAGCCGGTGTGGACACGCTCCAGCATTTCCCACAGAGAACATTTGGTGGACTGCCCACAGCATCGCCGCCGTGAACAAAGGTCAGCAGCACCTACGCTTCCTGAGAGATCTGAGGAGAAACGTAGACGCAGCTGCTGGTGTCTCGCCACTCCTCCCTGCTGTCACGTCAGTGTGTTTTACAAACTCCTCGTCCACAGTTAAAAAAAATAAAATAAAATCGGAGAAATAGCATCTCAGCAGGAGGATGAAAACTGTGAGGGAGCCTTCACCTACTTTACCTGGTGCCCTCAGGGCAGCGTGTCAGGTCTGATAACCCATACAGGCAGTAACGACCCTTGACCCTTCATGTGAACATGCAAAGGAAACACTGGTTTCCAACTTGGTGAGTTGCTAAGCAGCTTCCTGTGACCGTTTCTCCTGATCACCAATGTTAGTGGACGTGAATCTGGGTGCAGAGCGTCATTAAGGGCGCTTTACCTGTAGATGCCCACCACCACAGCGTGGTCTCTCTCATAGGGCTCCAGCGTGAGCTGTTCCTGTGGTTTCATGTTCTCTGCACTCATCTTCTTCACTTCTGAGGCAAACACTGCCTCTGGAGCTGCTGTCGAGTCTATACAGTTAGCCTTAAGGAAGAAGAGCACAGCTGGAATCAGACTCACGAACAACAACAAGTCCTGAACAGGTAGACTTTCCTCAGCATCACACGAGTATCCTAGCACACGACTAAAACTAGTTTGAGTCCAAATCAAGGATTCAGTCACACATAAGCTGATTTAGCAGCCGTCTACAGTCATTCTGTAGTGAAGCAGGAGACGCCCTTTTATTCTCTTTAGCTTTAGCAACATTTGCTATTAGAAATCCCGCTATGTGAGAAACGTACTCATGTTTGTGGGTCAGTAACTCGAGATAACTGACTCGGAAAATGTCTTCATTCGTTTTTTGAGATTCAACAAAGCCCAAGCTAAAACATGTGAAAAAGACCTTTAGAAAGCCTGGAGAACTTCTGCATAAGACAACGTTAACCTTCAAAGTCCAGCGTTCAGGCAGCCGTTACCTGTTACGGCAGTTATCAGCGTACCTTGATTGAGATAACAAAGTGGCCGCCGTTCTTCAAAAAGTTGTGAGCGTTCAAAGCAACGATCCTCGTCTGGTCAGGCTGGGCAACATCAGCAAAGATCACATCCACCATGCCTGCAGAGGGACAGACGGCAGGTGAATGCTCTGCATGTGGACGATGGCCGCCCCTCGCCCTCGTGTCAAGGATTACAAACAAACCTGTTCGTCTTTCACCAGCTCATCTGCATCACACTACTCACCAACAAGCATTCTGTATTTGTGCGGGTGCCGAGCGTCTTCGATGATTGGAATGATGTTGGTGCGTTTTTTCGCCACGTTGAGAAGGTCGCGACCCGACCGGTGGGAAAACTCTACTGCATAGACCAGCCCTTCCTGTCACACAACACACTCATGTCAATGCAAGCTGCTTTTGTTTCCTGTGTTAAATCTACACCACTCTAGAAATCTTGATGATGCAGCCCATTGGCCCACTCATGACTTTATTTCCACCCAATTCTGGCCCCATTTTTAATCCACTGGAAGAGAAACTCCAGTGAGCCGTGTTTGTCTCTTTCATTTTAGGAACATCCCATGACACAGGGATTTCCCACCGTCCGGTTCCCCAGTTTTTGATGGAGGAATGAGGATCGTAGTTTTAATTATTGTGCGTTTGATCCCTTTGCCCCTCCTGTCACGTCCCCTGTGGTCAAACACTACTGCCAGCAGTGGTCTGCCCGCTCGGCAGCTACAAAGAGAAAGTGTGCGGTACTCACGGGTCCAACGATGTCGGAAACGTGGGACACTGTGGTGCCAGAGGCAGCTCCCAGGTACATGACCTTGGCTCCAGGCTTGATGTGGATCTGGTCGACTCCTCCCAAGATGGCCGCAGCCAGCTTGGAGCGGAACGGATTCCAGGCTCTGTATTCAATCTTAGTCTCTCCTTCCTACCAAGACCGAAGCGAACATCGACTCAAAGTGTGGTCACAACAGCAGGAAGAGCACACGTTTTTATATTTGGCATAGCAGCAACAGCTGAACTGGACTCACTTCCACACTGATCCTCTTCTCTCCATACACAGACTCTCCTACCACCATGTTTTTTGTCACCAGGGCATCCTCCTTTCCCCTGCAGATGAACACTCCTGAGAGAGAGAGACACACACACACACACACACACAGGAATAAGCTTCCAAATGAAGGCAAATGCTGAAAGGTGAATAAAATGTGACAAACTGTAGCCGAGGCTCAAAACAGTCCAGCCTTCAGTGCAGAAGATGCCTCAGTCCTCTAAAATATGAACAATCACCTTCATGTCTGTGAGGCTCGATCAGGACCTTCTTCCCTCCTCCGAAACCACCTCGGCCACCCCTCCCTCCTCTACCCCCTCTGCCTCTTGGGGTTCCTCTGCCACCACCACGGCCCCGAAATCCTCCACCGTCTGGGGACTGGAAGCCTCCACCTGAAAAACAGCCGCGCACAAGAGAAAGTTCCAGAACCTGGAGCAGCAGGTCGCAGAGTGATGCATTTCTGTCCTTCACTGGGACGTTGGCTGGACACCTTTTGCTGATCATTAAATACACAAGTAACTGTTTTGTTTAAAGAACAAACCAGTAGTTACACTTTTTGGGTCTCGCTCCGTTTTTTCCATCCTCAGGTGTGTGTTTACAACAGCATGGCCCTCGGAGGGCGATGTAAAAACATAATGGCCCATCATATGAAACAGGCTCCCACCCCTGCTTTACACTGAAACAATTCATGCAGAATGACGACAAGCACCAGTCACCTACCACAGAAATAACTGTTTATTAAAGACAGAATCATTGAAAAGGCAAAGCAGCTGCTCACCAACCAAGTCCTTCCACGGCTGCGCTGCTAACGGCTGCGCTGCTAACGGCTGCGCTGCTAACGGCTGCGCTGCTAACG